CAGGGCTTATAGTTTTAAATCGAGACCTCTAATTTCCAGCTTCAGCCATTTCCAGCTTCAGCCACGACAATAATTAATAATTAATTAATAATAATAATTAATAATAATAATATTAATAATTAATTAATTAATAATAATTAATAATAATAATATTAATAATTAATTAATTAATAATAATTAATAATAATAATAATTAATAATAATTAATAATAATAATTAGAAAATTACTACATATCGCCAGTGGTGATCATCAGTCCTAAGATTTGTTAGGGTTAGAGTTAGAAATTAGAGAATTATATTTTTTTATATGATATAATATAGAGCTAATATAAGGTCCTGATTTTAGTTCTTGTGAGGTTTTCAGGAGTTCTGAACATTTTTACTTAGAGTACCTGATCCCATTTACTTAGTACGTTTTTGAGATATAGCAATACTGGTGATGATCACCAGTGGTGATAAATAGCAAACCTCTAATAATTAATAATAATAAGTATAGTATAAGTATTGTATGCAAGTTTTATATACTCAAATACAATTTTTGTAGCATACTCCACTACTTTACTAAACTATACTCTACTACTATTTGTAATACTGATTAATTCAGTGGTTTATATTACATCCTTTCACAAAAAAGAGGTGCACCTCTTGTACAATTTTTATGATATTTCACCAGATATAAGAACTTTGTAAATTATTTTAGAGGAATATTGAATATTGTATTTTCACGTAATAATGCTCATGAGGGTTATTTCGAAAACCATGCTCTCTAAAAATTATTTATGGTTTAAAATAATGCTCATGCACATCCCAAAATAGCGCACATTCATAGTAAGAGATGTTTATTTATAGTAAGATTTAAAAAAAAATGCTTTAGAACTGATTTAGTACTAAGTAAACCTTCTTTTGAGCTTAACAAAAGTTGTTCTTAGGAACAACTTTTGTTAAGCTCAAAAGAAGGTTTACTTAGTACTAAATTCAGATCCAAGGTATTTTTTGTTTGTTTACTTTTTATACAAGAAATACTTAAACTTTTTATTTATCTAAAAATAATGCCCATAGTGATATCAATTATTTTTAAAAGAATTGTAAATAAAATAATAGAATTACCATGAATCGTCATATAAATCATCATAAAATACTCCTTGACAGTAAACCCCACACATATCTCGAAGTTTTATTTTCATGTTTTGTAAAATAGGTAATATGAATAACCGCGGCAAAGATAGTATAAATTAAAACAAAATTGGTTTAATTATTTTCTTATTTAACAAGCTTATTTATGAAAAAATGTATTGTATTAAAAGAATCATGTAAAATCTAGTTTTTAGAATTGACTAACAATTACAGAATGTCAAGTAAAAACAGTTTAAAGCTCTTAGCATTATTGCTAAAAATTGTCTATACAACAACCACAACTATTTTTTCTTTTATTTTGCTTTTGCTGAAAATTGTTTATATAATTTTCCTAACTTTAATTTGGTTGATTTCTTTGATAATTGCTACTTTGATTTTCGCATCTTCGATTTTAATATTAAATATGATTCCAATTTCACCTCTCTTGTTGTTCCCTGGTATCGTTGTTGGGTTTTCTGTATTATTTATGAGTACTATCTACAAATCTGAATCCATTTGCTCAGATAATATAGCGAAAAGTAGATGTTCATCGGAATGAAAATTAATTCTGTCTATCTCCAAACTTCATTTATCGGCATTATCTAGAAGCAAAATCATTTTTAATTCTAAATTTATGCCTCTTTCTTACTTCAATATGATTTCCTCTTTTTTATTTAAAATGAACATAAAAAATTCTTTTTCTAAAAAAAAACATTTGTTTTGATTTTTGATTTTTTGATTTTTTGATGTAAGAACATCATCAAGAGATTAAAGTTATCTAAGTTTCATGTGTTAATACTTTATACAACTCATTCTCATTATAGTGAACTCGCGACTAAGTTTAGAGTCAGTCTACATAAAATTTTCCCAATACAGTGAATTTACTAATAAACTCTTGATATAGTGAATCTTTAAAAAAATTTTATGGATCGCTTCACTATGACGAAAGTGAGTGCCATTATTTAGATACACAATTTAACTTGTAAATTAAAGCGATGGCTTGGCTTTATCATGATGAACACAAATTTAGTAGCTATTCAATTTTGTGCCAGATCTAATAAATCTAGAAATATTATTCAAACAATCAAATATTCTTTGATCGCAATATTTACGAACAAGTAAAATTTTTAAACATTTAAAAATGAATGATTATTAATAATGAAATAATCAAAGCTTTCAGGTGAAATAGCCCAGAATTTAAATAAGTAATAATTATATATGCATATGACAATCAGCCACAGTATCACTCGCTCTATAAAATTAGTGATATTTATACAATTATTTTGCAATCCGTTGATCAGAATCGAGTGCTTTTACGCCATTCAATTCATCTTGGTGAGACGATTTAAATGATATAAGAATCATCTGATTCCATTTAATAAACCAAGCGTTATCTTGATCCACCACTTTACCCCTTTACCTTATATGACCTAACTATGTTTTGATTGATTAATATTTTGAACACCCTAACGTCCCCTCAATTAGAATAGTTAAAATATTTATTTTAATTGCTAATAATTACATAATAAAATATTAATAGTATTTAAATGCTAAGCTATTGTGAATATTTAGCAAACATTTCTTTATTGCATTTAAAGACTGTGTATCAAGGGATGAATTTGCCTTCTCTGACAGTTCGAGTGCATTCCTTAACAACTTTCTTAACTGCCACTTGATAATTTTTGAAAATTATTTCTATTTGTGTCTGATAACATTTAAGGAACGAATCAATTGCTATTCTAGGATTATGATATTCCTCTTCGAAAAAATCCAACTCATAGTCGTCAAGAATCATTATTCCTCCTTCTTTCAAAAGATTCCATGATAAAATAACATCTGATAGCACATCATGAGATTCATGAGAACCATCAATGTAAATGAAGTCAAAATTCATCATCTTTTCATGGTTTAAATTAATAAGTGCATCGAATGACTTAATTTTGATAACTTCGATTTGCTTCTCTTTGTGAGTCTTTTTAATATTTTCGTGAAATGTTGTTTCATTATCGTTATCGGGAAACATTTTTACGAAAATATCGATGGTAATTAATTTAGATTCAGGATCTTTGCATAATTCTTCCAAAATCCATGTAGTGGATCTTCCTTCAAAAGCGCCTATTTCGAGTACACTTATTTTTCGATTTTTAAGATAAGATAAGTTTTCTTTCCAATAGGGAAGATGCTATCTCAATAAAGGAATTAGCTTATATTGCTTTTGAGACTATTGGAATTGCGAGAGAACAAGTCAGATTGATAACAGATAAGAATAAGCCTGTCGGTGTTCAAAATAGAAATTCAGATAATACACTTATTAGTCAAGTTCTTGGATGGTCACCTAAAGCATCGATTCGAAAGGGTATGGAAAGAACGACAACATGGATAAAAAATGAAATTGAAAAAGAGTTTAATAAATGTAAAAATGAGTTAATGAGGAACGAATTGAAAGCAAACTACCGAAAAAGCAGTGTAGCGAAAATATTAAAAGATGAGATTAAATTCGGAATTCTTCTTCCGATCACATCCCGCGGGCTAGAAAGCCCCAAAGATTGTCTTTATAATTTGCATAATTTTGCACAGAGTGTATACGAAACAACACAAATAGATATTATAGGTATGAATAGTATTAAATTTTCGTTAAAATTCTTTATAGGAATTGATAAAGATGACACTTTATTCCATCCTATTGAGAAAAATATAGCCGAACAAATACTTAAGGAACACGGGTTAATCGATGTAGAAACGCGCGAGTTTGATCTGCCTCTCGGATCCGTCAGTAAAATTTGGAATGATTTAGCAATAGATGCTTATAACCAGAAGTGTGATTATTTAATACTTTTTGGTGACGACATTATAATTGAGAGCACTGATTGGATGTCAAAAATTCACGAAGAGTTTATGAAAATTTCAAAGGAAAAAAAAGTGCCATGCGGTTTTGGATGCGTTGCATTCACTGACATAATGTCTCCTGGATTTCCAACATTTTCAGTAATGTCACGACTTCATATTGATATATTTAATGGTAAACCATTTCCAGAAGGATTTACAAATTGGGGCCCAGATCCTTTTCTTTTCCAATTGTATCGTCGATTTGGTTGTTCAGTAATGTCAAAAAGAATTAAACTCAAGAATTTAATAGGAGGCAATAAAAAACCACGATATAAGGGAATACGTTATGATTGGTCCTTTTCTGTTTTAGATAATGCTGTATTATCTGTTGAAGAATGGATGTGCAATACAATTGAAAATCCTATTCCTAAACTCCTTACCCTAGATATAGTTGTATCAACATATAGGGTTTAAATACAATATTTCGAGCCTATAATTCGGCTTAAAAGATCTAATACAGTATCTATATCAATAATCATAATTGTTGACAATCCAAATTCGCTACATATTCGAGATATAAAGAAATTTGAATATGACGCATTTGTTAGAATTCGTATGCAGGGAAAAAATCTTGGAGCGAGTGAAGCAAGAAATCGAGGGCTATTAGAATCCAGAGCAGATTATGTTTTATTTTTAGACGATGACGTAATCCCGCAACCGGATATTTTGATAGAGGCGGAGAAAATAATCCGAAAATATCCAAGAGCATGCGGTTTTGTCGGATGTACGAAATTTCCAGATCCAAGCAAAACTATTTTTACAAGCGCTGTGAAAATGTCAGGAACAACTTATTTTTGGGACATTGCCGAGCGAATTGAGGAAGATATCCCATGGGGAGTGACAGCAAATTTAATAGTTCGTCGTTACAAGGATAATGTTCAGTTTAATCCTAAATTCTCTAAAACAGGAGGTGGAGACATCGATTATTGTATGCAAAAAAGGCAATTCTTCACACGGAATGTTCAAAACGGTGAGGGCTTCCGAGGAGCACCTCTAGTAAGGGCAGTACATCCTTGGTGGGATAACAGAAAAAGGTTATATCTTAGATTTGCTAAATGGGCGTATGAAGACGGACAATTAATTAAGATGTACCCAGAGCACGCATATAAAGACAGTTTCCCCAACGGCGCAGAACTTTTTTTAGTTCTCATGTCACTTTTTATAATTTTCCTTTTTACAAAAATTTTGATAAACAATCAAATATTGAATGAGCTGACGCTCATAACGACTATATCAATATCATTAGTAGTCGTTGCAAATATGATTGCTGATATTATTTGCTTCGTGGTGTTAGAACCGGAACTTCATATTCCAGAATTAAAAGGATATCGTCGCATAATCGCAGCATTAGAATCAACAATCATACGAATTACCAGTGAATTAGGAA